TGGCTTGTTGTATCTCTCGATGAACTCAGAAACTGATACGTGATTTCGAGAATTAAATTTGAAAGTGACCTTATAGAATTTTTTCCATAATGAAATATGCCTTATGTATTAGTCTGTGGGTTATATTAGGAGTGCGTATAAATCTTACATTCTAGTACATAGTCCCCAAATATTCCGATGCCACGTTGTTTGTTAGTTGTTCATTTACAGTTTTGTTGGCTCACATAAAGAAATAAGAATATTTTCCCAAAAAGTTAATCAAGATATCTTCGGAAGTAAACTTTCGAGGATCAATGTATTAATATATATGGTGCATACAAGTTTTGTTTCGTGGTAATTATCGTCAGAACTGAATCCTTTACAAAAATACGAGTAGTTACGTGATGGCTGATTGAAGTCGGAGAAGCAGTGAGTTGGTCATTGTAAATCGATAGAAATAATAGAATGCATAAAAAGGATAATTAAGAGGTGTTTAATCTAAATCACTTCTAATATTCTAAAATTATATTTAAAAAGTTACTTATACACTTGTTTCACAAACACTGTCGTGTTTGCCGCTATAAATCAACTCTTTAGTTAACTATCTCCGGTAGATAGAATTTAATGTTACATTTAAATGACCTGCTGATAGGACGGTTTGATTTATAGATAATTAAGTGTATATAATTGATTTGGGTCTGGCTTGAACAACATCATCCCTCCGGTATACGTTTGGAAGCCCATAGTCCAGACAATCTAATAAAAGTGGACAACATGTTTTTTATCTATCTGTTCAGGTACATGAATATTAAGCGCATTGTTAGTAGTAGCAGAATAGTAAAATAACTGCGTAGACAAATCATTACGATGTGTTTAAAGTGGTCCTGCGAAGTACTGGGGAAAAAGTTATATCAAAAAATAGCAAGTAAAACTATATCTAGATTTTAATCAGTTAAAATTTCCAAATAATGTGATGTATTTGCGCTATACATTTAAAAGTTATATTTGGTACTGTCGATTCCTTAGACTAAGCAGTTGTTACTATATTATATTTAACCAGCAAAATAGTGAAGCAGGGAAAAGGTGACTAAAGTCATTCGAAAGAGGGGTAATGTAATATGAAGTGAACGTAAAACAACCTAAACAGTTCTTACGTGTAAGAGAAAGTATTTTTATTTTAACCCGCCACATTTCTTCAACAATACGACAGTAGTAATAAGGTTATCCCCGCTGAATAAGGATGTTTTCTAATGCGTGAATATATGCTATAATGCTTAGTTTTTGAGAGGTTCTCCAGTTTTAATATACCATATCTGCTGGAGGATTTCGATGAGGGGTGTATTGAAAAAACAATTCCGGTAAAAGTAGGCTAATGACCCAGTGAGCACATGGATTATACTTACATTTAATGATGGAAGCAACTTATAGAAAAAAACAACGTGAGTGCGATATTGTGACAATCTGATATCACGATCTAAATGTTGATAAGGTAAACTTTTGAATGAGTTACATCAATTCACCATGAGAACTCAAGTGACCTAGAGAATAAATTTCAATTCTCAATTCATGATTGATATTTCTCTAACCCAGAAAAATCACCGAAATTAAGTCACGATAACTAACCACCGAAATAAAATATGTTATTTTATCTGCGTCTACGTCACTATATATTTATAGGGAATGAGTGTTTTAATTTTCAAATGAGCGAATCACATGTTTGATTAGGTGATGAAGTTGCTCGATTGAATGATGAACCCATGATATGTCGTTAGTCCACAACCAAACCACCCAGCCGTTGGGTCACCGAAAGTCGAACAGTTCACTGATCATCCTCAAGGTCAAGAACAACCAACGAACATTATTTAATCTCACTCCATGAACTGGCCTATGTGGTGGTGGTCTTGATCTCTTCCGTGTACCTACTCTTGCTAACATATTTCTGTGCTAACGTTATACGATACTCAAATCAGCCATAGTACTTTGATAAAGCGAAAGAGTAATCCACATTACGTGTTGTGACTTCAAATTCAGAAGGTTCATTACGCCATTCTTGTCCAACCCACAATCGTCCAACGAAGATTATCTGCTCTAGTGATTTACAGGATTTACTATTGATATGCTACGGCAAATTACCTAGGTGACATACAATGTTAGATTGGAATTTCCTTGTCGTTGAAAATTTTCAGAATTCTTAAATCACTCTACCACGTCTACAAATGAAATCCTTTGCAGGTATCCCGCAGAGCACATGTTTGCCAATCTTTTGCCAGATTAGGATGGTAAGAAAGACCAACGTCTACTAAAATCAGGAATGATTTTATGAAATTAATAAAATTGTACATAGGATTTTTCAGACAATATTCGCTCGATGGAGATAAAACAAAAGTGAAATCGAATGAATGTAAAACTTTTGCACATTAAGATGCTTCGAGTACTTGGAGCTTGGCAATGCCTTTACATATAACACCTATACAGTTGAACTGTGTTGACCTAGTCCAATCAGAAGTGGTTTTAAGATGTATATCAAAGTCTAATGATATGTCTGGGTGCGTCTTGTCTATGCTGGTTAACAGTTGCAAGGGATGCGTTGCACGACAAAAAAACGTATCTGGTACGGGCGCGTGACTGAGTGCCTCTGGCTAGGTTTGTTTATTGAAATTATTGTGAGATAGTAAATATTTGTAGCTCAGGTGTATGATTTTGATGGAGTTTTGTTCTCTGACCTGGATGGTTAGGTCGTGGAGCTTTCATCGTTATTCTGAAAGACATCATCACACAAACGTTCACCCAAAATTTGTGGCGGTTACCATCAAATGTCGAAGGCTTACAGAATTATTTATTTTAGATATTTTTACCGCTACAGTTCATCCCCCCTAGTAGGCAGTGATAAATCCAATTTGTGGCCAGCCAGCAAGTTAAACTCGATGAGGTTGTCGTTGTTGAACAATATTTTGATTACTTGTTGTGTTCATCAGCATTCGGTCATTCTTTCTTATTAAATAAGGGGTCATGTGGTACACGGTAGTAGTAAAAAAACGCAATGAAAGAAGAGTACTAGAGACACGACAATATGAATCAGCAAAAAACTACAAGTATGCTTGTTAAATAACAGGGTTCAATCATCCAAGTTGCTAAGAAAATAAAGATATTGAACGCTCAGTAATCTAATGAGTTGTCTTGTTTACCGATTACAGAGAGTTGCAAAAAGGTTACCTGTGTTTGGTCAAATGCTGTTGCCCATTTTTTTCTAACCACATCTACAATGGTCAATAGTAAAAAAGGGGTGACTTCTATGTTCTTTATTTTCAGACGTTTGTCTATATCAAACTTTGTCAAACGTCAAAACTTAGGGTCATAAATCTCGCGCGTCTGATCTTTTTAAGTGTTCGTGAATTTTGACTCCTTACGTTGAGATATAGCCGCCTTTAGCGTGTGGAAAGGTCCAGAAGTCTGTGTATTGGATGTCTTTTTTCAGTTCTTATCAGTTCTCTGATTTTATTGCACTTGTGAAAAGACAATAACACAGATGAGTCAAATAGGACGTAACAGGGACCGATGGTGGTACATAGTATATAAGTTAATCAGATGTACTGAGAAATCTGGGTCTTCCTCACAACGATCAACAATAGTTTTATACATGTAGGTCGATCAGAGTCTTCTTCGCTTATCATCACTGTACCTCAGACATATGCAGATGTCGCTCTTTTTAAGTGCATCGGAGAAACGTCTAACGCCCATATAAGGCCGGTCCATAGATTATACACTCATATAACGATCTATATATAGAATGTCAACGTAAATATACGTCGACAATGCAGAATGAAACAATTCTAGTTTCAAAGTATCTAATATCTTTTAAGCTGAATAAAAACAAAGAAAAAGATTATTGGAAGGAAAAGGCGTTTCTGTGAAAGCTTGGGTCGATGAACGTGAGATTTTTGAACCATTTATCCAATATATGAAAAGTGCTCCTCATCCAGTTTTGTCCAGATTTAGTATTGACACTTGTCTTTCTGCTGTCAGCTAGTAATGTCAACTAAAACTAACAAGGTTAGCATCAGTCTCGGACAATGATCGCAAAACCGTTTGTTTTGGGACTTTTTTACCATTACATACGTAACTAGCAGTTATTCGCTGTTAATTATAAGCAGTATAAGTAGTTCAACTCCCACTGAATTCACAAGCAACAATATATTTGAACTGATATACCTATGTAAAGTTCGCACCTGCAGTTGCGGTTTCATCCTGCGCTCAAAAATGCTACAGAAATTTAGAATTTGACAATGCTTTTGCCTGTAAAATCCATATGACTGGGGGATATTAAACGAGTCAAATCAGAAGTCCTAAGTGGAGGACTTTAAAGATATACTTGCAAAGTTATTGATGTATCGAGAAACATTTGATCTAAACTATGTAGTATGAAGTCATAGTACGAAGTTTATACGCGTGGTATGTTGCAAATGCGTGACCGAGAAACTTCAGGTAGGATGTGTCCAGTAAGTCTACTGTGATCGACATTAATGAAGACTTATGGAAATGTTTATTCTGGCGAATTATTTGCTGCTACACACCCAAAACACATGTGATATGATTCTAAGTGTTATTTAGTGCTTACACTACAAATAATTAAAGGCGAATGAAAGGGCCGTCAGAAGCGTTTTTGCTCCGTGTTGTACTTTAAGACCCAAAATACATGAATTTCACAAATTCGGTGAATAAATAGAACTTTTTTAAATATGAAACACTACCTAATTCGAAACCCTACACTACCAGCCTTTGGTTGTAACGACTATATTATCTTTATTTTACACATTTATTAGTGCTGATCGCTTCCAACCACCTCCCTCACTAGACAGAAGTGCATTCTACAGGCTTACAAAGTTACGATTCACTTTTTTCTCATCTAAGTTCTAACATACGTCATTTTGTACACTTCCATAGAATACGACGTACCTTAGGGCTAGACACAGACATTCAAAAAGTCGAAAGTCAAGTCAAACTTGTAGAGAGATGTGGATTACGAATATTTGACCTTGAAGGTCAAGGCGCCATTATTAGGTTCTCAGAATGACTAGGGGTTCACCTCATCGATCGCACAAAAAACATCGTCACAAGAACCGTGATAGGTCTCGTTCTCCCCTGGACCAGATTACTGATAGGATCGCTACCAGGCGAGATGATCAATCACCTAGTGATAGTAAGTAAACTTGCATAACCTATTACAACTTATGCTTAGCTGGAGGCACTGGTGTTGATATTTCTCTCTCAGTTGCGGAAACAAAGTAAATATAGGGTAAACTAATGTACTTTTCTAGTGCTTTGCGGGCTAAATTGGGTCTTGCTCCTCTGGATGCTGATGATACTTCAAAATCAGAACGAGCAGTAGATAACCAAGCCGATTGCTACGTCCATGCACCAGCTAAAGATATCAGAAAAATAAGGGAATCAGAAGCAATCAAAGAAAAGCTAAATGTCTTGAAAGAGAAAAGGTCACTGTTAGATAAAATTGGGCAGGAAAAACTGTCCACGCCTTCTGCATGTGAATCGGATGTTCAATCATGGGTTGAGAAAATGCGTGAGAAAGAACGAATTCAGAAACAAGCCGAAGAAAGAGTAAGTTCTATGCAGGCTTTGCTCGTATTGATTGCTTTTCTAGGCAAAGCTTTTGTCTGAGATTGACGATCAGTTGGCTGTTTCTGAGTTTGTAGAGTCACGGTTGATTCAAAATGGTAAAAAGTACAAACCCAATGATTTGGCCGGTCTTCGCGTTGAACACAGCTCATCCCGTTTTGTTGACGGTCAATCAGTTATCTTGACGATTAAAGACTCAGGTTTGCTTGGAAATGTTTTAGTTCCTAAAGTCTTTTACATGTAAATGTTTTTGGCTCACATGTATTTACTTGTATCATTTCGATTGGAGTTCAGATATCCGATGTATATATTAAGTCATTGTGATATTTGGTTGTTGGCTTGTCATTACTGCTTGTCGTATTTTGTCTTTTTACGGTTTAAACCCGTATAATAACTTGTGAATCGGTTACTGTAGTAGTTTTCGTTTAACATGTTCACTATCTTGGTTTAAGCTTGTTGCGGAATTCAGTTTAAGGATTAGTCTGTTTTTAGCCTATGAATATAGTCCTCACCTTGAGTGATTTGTTTTGTAATGCGCTTGACTTACAGCCATGAAATTGCAATTTCAAGACCCATTCAATCTGTTTCGGTCCCAACAGCTTAGTGATGTCACTTTCTTTCACTCGAATTGTAGCTCAAGCATAATTGTGTACTTATTGAGCAATCTACAAATACTCATTTGGAGATCTGCTATCTGGAAATGTTCCAATACTATTATTTTCAGCAGATTTCTAAAAACTCAAACATTTTTAGTGAGACTAATTTATGGACGACCTTTGAGTGAAGCTAAAAAGACCTTGTGAATGTCCACTTACATACTACGGCTAAATGAGGGTTATAAACTAGTGTAAGGAATTAAGATTAATATTTTTGTTTAATAGTTGGGGTTAGGCTTTAGATTTGGGGTTTTTATTGTGAACTGACATCAGCTATAATGACAAAACTATTTAGCCAAATGAATGAATTTCGCACCGAAATTCAAGACATGTTATCGTAAATCTGGTTGGTTTCTCCATAAATTATAGTTTCTCCACATTTTCACTGAGCTTGTTAGACAACTCATGCTTTCAGTCCATCAAGTGTTACTAGTAGTACCACCCTGAAAGCTAGCTCGCTTGTTTTCCTTCATGTCTTATGTTAACCGCTTATCCAGGCTTGTAAGATTTGGACCCCATGTAAAATAACTGAACGAAACTCGTCACTTCAAACTAACCTACAATGTAATTTATTTTATTTCTGAAGTATATATACAAGATAGATGCAGTCATTTTGACTTGGTCCATGTAATACATCCGTATTAGCAATTTCTTGTTCATCAGTAGTTTCAGGTTAAAAACAGGAGGGGGATTCTGGCTTTTTCGTTTGGCTTCATCATAGACCTACTGGTGGAAATAACGCTCTCGTCGACTGAATTTTCGGGCATTGATCTCCTACCAGGAGGTCCACTTATCGACTTAGAATAGGCAGATGATATAGTCCTGTTTGATGAAGACACTGATAAAGTGCAGTGTTTTGGTAGCACTGAGCAACAATCCCTGAATGTTCGGGATGCGCTTCTCCCTTTCTAAATGCAAGTTGTTGCTCCAGGACTGGCCTGTGTCAACTCCTGAACTAAGGATAGAAAGTGAATTAGTTGGACACGTTAACAACTTCACTTATCTTGGAAGTCTGATCAGCCCTAATAGGTTGGTGTCTAACGAAATCTCAGCACGGATTCGAAAAGCTCGTTTGGCTTTTGCCAACTTACGTCACTTATGGCGAAGGCGAGATATCCGTCTGTCAATTAAGGGACGAGTATACTGCACGGCAGTTCGTTCTGTTCTACTTTACGGCTGCGAAACGTGGCCATTGAAAGTATAAGATACTCGTAAGCTACTAGTATTTAACCACACACAAAGCGAATGTCCGGCGCTTTAACCGGATTCCAAACCAATGGTGCACGTTGGCTCCAGTATCCTGCGGGAACAAATGGCGTATGAACCAATTGTTGGTCACCGGCTTCCATGGGACTGCATCTCCTTACGATACTCCACTGCCTTGTAGATCAGACCTTCAGGTCGAAGGCTCGGGGAGTGGCCCCCTAAGAAAACCACCTGCTTCGGTTTGGGCACCCGGGCAGTAGCACAGCCCTCACACATATCGAATGAGATTTGTGTGGCGCATATGTATTTAGTGCCTCCTTGTACCAATATGTATGTTAAAATAAATAATAAATAACACATGCCTTAGAAGTACTGCTCGCATTTACTGGGATCACCGGGTAAGTAATAGTGAGATTAGACGCAGAGTATTAGGGAACGATGGTAAATCAGTTGATGAGGTTGTGAATCTTCATAGATTGAGATGGTTGGGTCACGTGTTACGTATGCCTGAACAGCGATTACCACGACGCGCAGTGGTGACTGGTGTTGGAAACAGCTGGAAGAAAGTTAGGAGCGGCCAAACCAAAACGTGGCATCAGTGCTTGAAGTCACTAACTTGTAGTGTGAGCCATGTTGGTAGATGCAGACTACTTGGTTGGGGTTCGCGTGACTATCGTAACCAATGGTTGGAGACTCTTGGTGACATGTCTCAGAATCGATCGTAATGGTGTAGGTGTATATACTCTCTGTGTTCCCTTAAACTATGAGATTAAAATCGCTTCATATCTTTCTTTCTGTACCATATCGTTATATGCAGTCTTTCTTTAATGTATTACCAGCATTGAATTAACTACTTCTATGAATCCGGTGTTCATCTTGCTATGCTAATGCGGTATGGCAACTCGGACTGATGCATATATGTGCCTGGTCCTACGTTGTAGATGACTGACGTATGTACTTCACCAGACAGTTCCTTACGAATGCGGTATATTCATTCGAGCGTATAAACGATGTTAGAAATACTAACAGTCAAACTAAGATTTCAGGAAGCTATCGATTTTTTAAAGTGAGTGTTGATTGACACAAAAATATTCATATGATCTTACCAAAACAGAAACAACTTAAATATATAACGATGGATATTCATTTATGGTGAGCGTTGGTTTGCAGAGAAGAAATGATTTATTGACGTCCCTAACTTTATTTCAGTCTAATAAGTATCGTGTATTACTGTAAGTGATGACTTATCATGCCTAACACACGACTAAACTATCCCAGTCACTATATACATATAACACCGTTAACTAGTTCGCCTCATCTAGAACATATTGTATAGCTTCTCGACTGCTCTCTCAGTGGTTCCGGTACATGATTCAAAGACACTATCGACCGAATCTTGGATGATCTTGAAGAGCTATTTGAATATCTAGTTTGATACACCACCTGTGGTAAATATATTTTACGAAAACTTGTGTTCCACTTTGTTTTATTGCTGATATACTTTTTACTGCAATTTTTTCAGTCTTAATTCCAGATAAGTTGTGATTCAGATTAGTGTTACAAGTGACTTCTGCTTATTTTATTTACCATTCTGGAGTTCCATAATAGTTTACTTTGTATCGATCGATGTAAATATTTCTCAAATACTTAAAATCTATGCTATATTACGGGTGTAGAATAATTTACAGACTTCTATCGTGTTTTTCTTGGAGAATGAGTACCATGTAAAAAATGCTCGTTATAAACCACCGCAACTTGACTTCATTGTATTGGTAAACTGGAGGTTCGGAATTTATTTCTACTGATAGTAATTCGAAATCTGTTTCAATCCCCATAAATGTTAACCTCGCTGTGTCATTATTTTAATCAACATTGTAGCGATCATAGGTTCAATATTTGTAATTTTCGCCTTTTAATTTAGGTGTTTTGGATGAATCTGAAGACGTTTTAGTGAATGTAAATATAATTGATGATGAAAAAGCTGATGTCAATAGAGAAAATATAAGAAAGACTACCGGTCTGGCAGGAATTGAAGACGAAGTGGATGAGGATGTACTTCTTGGTTTACGCTCTAAAGCTGTTCTAAGCAAGTATGATTCAGAGATTAATGGCATTAAAAAAGACCACTTTGTTATTAATTCTGATGGCTCTTATAATACAGAGAATGAGCGTTTATTGAAACAACTACAAGCTGAATTGAAAGAAGGACGAGTAAGTATATATTCAAGATTCATGTACATACTAATAAATTTTTCTCATGTTTAAAATATTGCCGTGTTTGTTTGGATGCATCACTAACTTATCTTAAATGTTTCATTGTTTGTTAATAGATCATTTTAATCCCATTTCAGCAATCGTTGCCTGATACTGAGCTTCGTATAGCTTCTGAGTACTACAGTGCGGAAGAAATGGCTGCGAAATTTAAAAAGCGTAAACGTCGTATCAAAACTATTCGTCAAGCACTGACTGCTGATGAACTTTTGAGTGAATTGCCAGAACAATCAGGGTCTTCTGATTTAGGAAGCCGTTCAACAGTTAGAGAAAAACGCTTAAATAGTAACATCCCATCTGCAAATGACACGTTTCCGGCTGAAGAATTTTCTGCACAAATAATAGATGTCAAAGGTATTATATGTTTTGCTGTTTTGTTTCCTTAATAGTTTAATAAGTACATTTAAAGAGCATTCCATACTAAATGTTACTTTTCAACTTATGAATTTTAGTATCGTTATGATTTCGGATCTATTTAACTAACTGAAAAACCTGTAGGCTATACTTTGTAACATAAATAGTCAAAATACAAACATTTATAGCATTCAATAGCCTGTAATGTCATAAAAATTAGACTAAAAATCAAAACGACTATTACCATGCAACTGTAACTGCGAAACCAACACTGTTATTCCACAACTATGTACTGCAGATATTTCTACACTTAAAATTGTATCATTACCTTAAATTGAAACAACTTTTATAGCAGAGTATTATTTGACAATTCCAAATCCTAACACATCATTCATTTAGTAGACTTTTAGGCAAGTGATTCTACAGTGATAAAAATCTAGGCTGATAGCTATTTATGTAAAAAGTTGTTATTGTTACTTGCTCCAACCTTCTTATCTTCTGTGTTAGCAAATGCGTGACGGATTCGGTTTTCGATTAGTCCAAACAGTTGAGTTATACGAAGTTTGATTACACATGTGTGAAAAGTAATATAACCCAGTGGTATGGCAATGATGCGTATTATAAATACTATCAGCTTCTCTTTTAGACAAAAGAACTAAAATTGTAGAATAATAACGGTTGTGAGGGAAAATCCCAAATCATACACTAATATGTCGTTTACACACACATGTAATGGATGAAAGAAACGACTCCAAAAAAGCACTGAGGAAAAGACCGAAACCCGTGTAAGTAACTTAAAAGTTTGGAAAAGTTTATTATTTTCAAATAATTTTTATCGTTTTGGAAGTGGATGAGTTAGCTATTTGTCAACTTCCAAACTCATGTTGGTACTACACAAGCGAAATTATATGTGTATAATTACTTTCTGATGCTAGGTTTCAATTTGTCATAATATAAACTACAGAACACTTGTTGATCGCTCTAAAATAATCGGTTATTTCAAATGTATGTTTCGCAATTTCTTTTTCTCTTATACTCAGATAGTTACGAGGAATATTGGTCTGCAGCAGATCATATCGATGAACCAGATGAGTTGAGAAGTGAATTAGAGAAAACTATAGGGCGAGTCGTGCAATCGAAGTCACGGGTTGTTTCTAAACCGGAAGAAGTACGTCAATTTTTTTATGACAGCATTTTCGTGAAATGTAGAGATTGTATAATATTAAAATGAATAAATGGGACTTAAGAAATTAGGCTAAATACAAGCTAATAGTGTCCAAACTTATGCCAAGTATATTGACTTTTCAAGTGTTTCTGAATTACATTACGGTTAAAAATCAGTGTGATCATGGTTAAACACGATTGATATGATCCATTGTTATGCTATGACAGCACTTGAATAATTTCTATGTCTGTTTAAAAACCATTTTTTTAACTATTACTTCATATAAACTAAGATAAGATTGATTCTCTTCTCACTATACTTTTTGCATTCAAAAGATTACATCACAACTCTTAGCAAAAAATATAGCTACTCATTCATCCGAATCCGTGTCACAGTCACCTGCGTCTGATACATTGACAAATAATAGCAAAAAAGACAATGTTGTGTTCGACTCTACTGCAGAATTTTATAAGTCAATTGGTATTGGTTTTCAAGAAAGTATGAAAAAAAATACTCGTTACAATCAGTTCTTACAAAATCAGTCTAGATTACAGAATAATGGCGGAGCAGTTGGTACTAATGATGATGATAATACGAGTTCATCACCTACAAGATTGCCGTATAAAGAGGAAGAAGAAGAAGAACGAAAACTTGATTATGATTCAGAAGGTAGTTATCGCATGAAAAGTGAAGACTATGATACAAATTATGACGATACGAAGTTAGAAGCATCAAGTGAGTTTCTATTTTCCACTTCATCTATGAATGTTCATTTTTTAAAAATATTTAAAAAATTTACGTATCAGCCATTGGAAAAGAAGTGTGATCATCAAATAAAACAATAGAGGGTAGATTGCAGTTTTTTCTTTTGGAGATAACGCTACCGTCATCTTGCTTTTCAGGAAACAATCTTATGTCAAGAGATTCACTTGTTAACTTAATTTATCCTGATAACCTAGTTCTATTTGGTGAAAATATCGACAAAATAGTTTGTGATAGCCTTGGGTGATGTTTGAGATGCGATTTCCTTTCTCTAAATTCAAAATGGTGCCTCAGGACTGATCTGCGTCAACCCTGGGCTACTGATAGCGAGTGAAGTAGTTGAGTGCATCAACCACTTCACTTGTCTTGGGAGTCTGATCAACCTTAGTGAGTTGGTATCTGATGAAACGTATGGACGCAGAAAACTCGTATGATTTTTGCCAACTTGTGCCACTTGTGGTTTAGGTTAGGTATCAGTCTACCAGCTTCATTAGTTCACTCTCTTCTACCTTATAGTAATGAAATGTGGCCTTTAAAAATACGGGATATTCGTAGTTCACTAGTATTCGATGATAAATGCCTTCGAATCATTGCTGATGTATGTTGAGACCACTGACTGCGCGATGTTGAGTTAAGGCAGAGTACTAGGTAAGGGTCGCGTATCGTTTGACGAGGCACTGCATGTCCATTGATTACAGTAATTGGAATACATATATTACCTATACCCTGCAACCATCTACCTCGGTGCGCGATATTATTTGATATAGGAGTAGGCTGAAAGAAAGCTAGGGGTGGCCAAACCAAGTTGTGACGTAAGTCCATTAAGTTATTGACTATTTGATGTGTATATAAGTTCAAACTACCTGTTTTGGGTCCACACAATTGTTGTAACAATTGGTTAGAGACCTTGTATGAAATGGCTCAATCGTTTACAAGGGTGCAGATACATCCACTCTTTTTCTCTATCAATCGTTAATTCCAGTTCCTCTTCATATATACTTTGCTAGTCTGTCGTTTCGAACTCTCTCCTTAACACTTAGTTTTTCTCAACATCATTGTTGCTATATCAATTCACTTTATTTTTCTATCTATCTTATGAGTTTCATTCCGATATGCTAATCTGCTGTGATAACTTGAACTGATACACATATGTGCCAGGTTCCAAGTTTTAAATTACTGATTGACAGTTTATTTCTCTCTGTGGTGTTGCTTCTATGTTATCGTTTAGTATTTTTTCTTAAGTAGCGCTCATTAAAGTCAACTATGTGTATAGATAGAGGCGGGAATAGCAAATTTATTTCTTTTATTTCTAGACGATCGATGGCATACTGTCGGTAATGATATTCTTGGGAATTCAACTAGAACAGTACCGAAACCAACAGTCAAAAAATCTGGGCAGGAACATTTTAAAGCAGAAAATACTGATATACATGGAGTTTTAGATGATGAACCACGTCTGGATTCAGGGGTATTTTCAGCCATTCGGTTGGCTGAGAAAAAAGGTTATATTGATAAAGAAAAAGAGAAACGAGTGAGTTAACTTCTTACACTTTAATCGATGCGAATTCCTCTTCAATTTTTAAGCATAATATTATATTCGCAACAGTGCTCAACTTTATTTGTTGTTTAAGCTAACCATTTTTATTATATGTACCCATTCCTTTTATCTTTGTTTTTCTAGACTGGTTCAGGAACTATGGTCAATCTAATGGCTAAACACTTTGTCCAAGAAGATATACGCTATGATGATATTGATGCGAAATTTTACAAACGTGATCGTTATTCTGGTCCATTATCAGATTTTAAAGAGTTAACGCAATATAAACCGGATATTAAATTAGAATACGTTGATGAGCTAGGACGCGATTTAAGTGCTAAAGAAGCTTTTCGTCAATTAAGTCATAAATTTCATGGAAAGGGTTCCGGTAAGAATAAAACACAGAAACGTATGAAAAAAATCAATGAAGAGTTTGTAAGTTTATGGATTAATTATTAATTTAAACTAACATGTTTATCAATTACAGGTTTTTTACTATTCGATTTAAAGCGGTTTTTTACATCATGACCGTTAATACTATTTGACCCACCAAATTGAGCTAGACAGGTTTGTATCTGTTGCTTGCAAGGCTAGTAGTTTTACAATTAATTGATTGTAAATATCATTTATAGGACCAATAAGTCAGAACGAGTAGAACATTTTGTGATTATTCATCGATATTCGTGTATATATATGTGCGCTGGGATTGTCCTCATATTTTCACGCCTAAGTAAGTGGTTCCCTGAACCTATGAATTAAAGGTCTAATTTAGAAGGTATTTGATTGAAATGTCAATAATTCACTGCTTCACTTTTTGTTATAAACTTACAATCGTATGTTAAAATAATCCAACTCACTTTCAGTTTTATTCTAAATAGAAGTTCGTAATATTGTTCGTAACTTGATATTAAATTGGTGGTACGATTGTATTCCTATCACTCAATATACATGGTTTAACCGCGGCGTTGGTGTGACCTATTAGATACTATGTAGAGATAGTAAATCGGGTAATAATATTATGGACTTTCGTCCACTGATTTGGTTTCGAACATGTTTTTTTTACACTAAATGCATGATAATACGTTGGTTGAAGACTAGGTGTGGCAAAAAAAACATGGTATCAGCATTTTAAGTTATGGACTCTTGGATGTGTGGCATTCAGTTGAGTCATTTGCTCTTCATCTTGTTAATTTCATGTCTGACTGTGTTGATGTAAGACATGGCAATTTTTGTCGAGGTATATTTATTTCAGGTTCCTATTTGTTTATAACTGGTTAAATATCTAACTGGCAGTTGTGAGTGAATTTCACAGCAACATATTCTTCGGAACTAAGCACACTATTTAAAATACAAATACCTAAAAAATTTTAAGAAAAATAGTTTTTGATCTATCGTCATCTTCTATAATGTTGGTAGATAAAAGCGGTAGTGAGACTAAATGAGAAACTTATTTTCGCACAAAAATTCACGATTAAGAAATGTGTGTGTTATGTGTTTGAACACTAAAGTGCATAAGATGTTGACGGTTGGTGTTCAACGGAATTATATAAAGAAGAAATAAATATTCCAGTTTATCCAACTGCTATTTTGTTTTTAGTATTTCAACTTTCGAAATTAAGTTGTACTTGCTGACGAATCTATTTCCAGATTCAAATTTTAGTAAAAGTCCCTTATGGATTGCTTTTCACCAAAAATTGAAAATTTACGTCATTTAACTTTGCAAGTTGGTTAAGTGAAATTTTATAAAGCGAACCAAATATTAAAATAGTTGAGATATAATGACATTTTACGACATACGTGTTTCTTCATTACAGAACTACATTGAAGATACCCAACGATTCCTGGAGATTAAGAAAGAGATTTACAGGAGACTTTTTAATGTTTCTAGAAAAGGTCATCATACAAACAGTTTTACTGGTTTTATACTGCTTATATGACCTTGGAACATAGATACGAGATTAGTTGTTAAAAATAAAGCTTGTTCTCAAATAGTCAAACGATAAAAAATTCTGAAACGAGTTGGATTAGTGACTCTCCGAACACTAAAAGATTTTATATGAGGGGGGTAATTTGTCGACTAACAACAAATTAATCATAGCATCGCCCTCAACTTTGTAGTAGTCTTAGATTTCAACAGACCTCCATAACATATTGTTAATTGTTATAGTAAAGGTGTAAACTATCCGTTTCACTTAATAAATAAAATAGTCAAAATGTTTAAGTTTCTTACCGTTTTATGCTAAAAACCGTAAAAAATCACTAGCTATTAAGGACAGGAGTTTTGTAAATATTATAACTAGCGAAGTATCTACTTTTCCGCAAAGTTTACTTCTTTGGAGAAAAGCTGTTCAAAACAGGGATGTTTACAAAGATAATTTCAAATTCAACAACCATTCTGTGGTGACTAGGGACTAAATTCAAGAGGTAATTCTTAGAGTTCTATTAAGAAGCATTAAGCATTGGATTTCAACCATGTCGGTCGTCAGTCAAATATTACTAATGGCAATGGATAATCGGTCATGCAATACTTGCATATAATTGGATGCCAGCTCAGTTTTCTGAAGTTTGAACGCTTGTCAAGAGGCTTGGAGGCCTTTAGTTCGATCCTTGGCGTAGTTACATACTAGGACGAAATAAATGTTCAGTGCTTCCTGGTTTCAATTGGCACCTAAGTAAATTTAGCCTGTAATGTGAAACTTCAAATATTAGATTTTATTTCATCTTACTGTTTAAAATGTTGAAGTTTTTTTAATTATTCTAAGTCATTATAGAGTGATATATTTTGTTGGATCTCTCTGTGCCACAGCTTAAGAGGAACTTTAGTATCGAATTGATTGATTTTTTAATCTAAGTTCGTATTTTTCTCAATGTCATTTCAAGTATATGTACTTAGTATTTGTTTTACGAAGTAACATCTCATCTTTCAGGTTGTTTTCACTATTCTAATTTTTGAAAATAATAAAATATTCTTTTCTTTCTATTATGGATTTAGCTTCTTAAAGCCAGCACCAGTTCAGATACTCCACTGGGAACAGTGAACAAACTGAATAAAAAACTAGAAGCGATGTCAATGCCTTATGTAATTTTAAGTGGAAAAAATGCAGCTGTGTAAGTTAATTCATGTTAGGATACGTGTTTTCGTTGTATTTTTAGTGAGATCTTAATTTTTATTTCAGTCACCGCCAAGTTTTCTCTTAATCTTTCATGAAGATTCATTTTTGGTTTGATTAATTACTTTAATGATGAACGAGAACACAAGCGGGGACAACCAAATGTATTTGAACACAAAATTACAGAGCGTCTTAGTAAAATCTTAGAACCACATAGCAAATACTTGATTCGCAAAATGTCAGTCAATCGGCTCAGACTTCACTGTTCTTTCATTTCCACAGCAATCATTCTCTGTTCTCGTCCTCGTTTCTTCGGTCTTCTTAATCACCTGCTGCCAGGCATTGCACTTTCGACGAAAATTATATATATAAGCTGTTTTTCACGTAACAGAACAGATAAATAAACAATGAAACTACAAATCGTCAATCGAGTGACCAGTTGTTTTTCACTTTCTCCAACTTTAACCAAACCTTATATTTTGAGAGGAAGATACCTCATTAAAAAGCCAAAGAAAGGTGATTACAACAATTGCAAGAACAATAGAGGCATCACAATACTATCAGTACCAGGAAAAGTTTCAAACAGAATGGTGTTGAACTGGATGAAAGATTCAATAGATACCCAACTTCGAGATCAATAGGCTGGTTTCCATAAGGATCGATCGTGCACGGACCAAGTCGCGACACTACGTATTATTCTTAAGCAGTCAATTGAGTGGAACTCGTCACCATACATCAACTTCCTTGACTACGAGAAATTATTTGGCAACGTGGATAGGAGAACCTTATAGATCCTCCTTCAGCATTATGGTGCACTGAAAAAGGTGGAAACTTTCACGTGCTTGGGCAGTATCATTGATAAACAAGAGGGTTCTAAAGTAGATGTGAAGACACAGATTGACAAAGCGATGGCAGTACGTCTACAAATGAATAACATATGGAACTCAAGACAACTGTCAGACAACATCATAGTCAGAATTTTAAACACTAACGTTTAAACAGCTTTATTTTACGGAGTTAAGACCTCAAGCATTACGACAACTACTATCAAACAGCTGTCTACGCAAGATAATCCAGGTCGATTAATCGTATTCCATCAGAAACAACCTACTATGGGAGAGAACAGACCAACTTGCCGCTGAAGAGGGCATTAGGAAAAGACGCTGCAGATGGATAGGACACATTACGGAAACCATCAAACTGCATCACTAGACAAGACCTAACTTGGAATCCCCCAGTCGAAAGAAAAGGAGGCAGACTAAAGGATAAATAGGGATGGGAATTGAAGCAAGACATTAAAAAAAGAAGAACAACAGTTGGAAGAAGAGCTTAGGACAAAATTCGTTAGTGAATCCTGATGGGTGTCCTATGCTTCTCCAGTATAACATATAAAGTAATAAGACTGTCAATAAACAATTAATGGTTAGGAGAGACCAAAGAAAAAGTAACGACTTCAATGTTCGTCGATTGGGTTGTGATTACATCAATCAGTAAAATTAAACATGGGAGTTGTGTGGTCAAGTAATAGTTACTCATAAGTAATGTTTTTTTTTTGAAAAAAAACAATTTGGCAATTTTCTTATTAATCAGTTATAAATTCAGCAGATAGAATTTTATTTATCTATACACTTTAGTAGGATATCATACGTAGTCACGTTTGTAAACTGCTTGGAAAGTGATTAAATTTTTAAACCTACATTTATATTTTGTTATCATTATGTGACTACGTATCTACTCTCATACACCATGTTTAATTGATGTACTGTTTGAAATGTAATCATTAAATTTCTTTAACTTAATAAGGCATCACTTTCGGTCCAATTGAAACAGTTACACATTAGCTCTTATCATTATTTGTCACGGTTTGTATCTTTCTGTTTTTGATGTTAAGGTTTGCAATTGATCAATCTCTATTAGTCTATTCAGACCTTGAATAAATTACCTCAATATTATCATATAGTCACAAGTTTTTTCGTTAATTGCAAATTGCCAAGTAGTATGAATCCTAGGTCCATGGTTTCCTATTGATTGCTTCTACTTCTGTCATTCAGCATGAGTTATACTTGACTAAGTTGTTAGTAGCTCTTAAGTCGTAATCTATGTTCAAAGTCTCCATTTCAACCAACTAATACCAACTGAATATTTAAATTTTCAAACGAGTAAATATCCGTTTGATAAATTTTGTCATACAGTTTCTGTTCCACCTGTTTATATGATAATAATCTAGTTTGGATAATTCGACTTTTTTGTAAATAATTGAGTTTAGATTCATGAATAATGCATCTCAGATTAAGAGTACAAAGCATCCATTTAAATCATATGAACATTTAATTCATTTTTGTAACTTGTTTTCAACTACTTATATCACTCAGTAGTATATTTTTATATTTTTCAAAGTGAATTGTGTTTATTTTATTATAGAAAGAAGCTGACGAAATAGTTAACAGCAATAGTTAACAACAATTTAGATGTCATATTCCATAGTTGATATCACTTTTGTTACCTGGCATCGATACACTTGTTCATTTGTAATGCGAATTCCCCACTAACCATTATTTTCTCACTTTTTTTCTGGATTGTTATTTCTTGTGTACATACATAATCAATTTTTAAATAAAAACTCTGACCTTATTTGTTTTATTAATCTGCCTTTAATATTGTTGCAATATTGGTAAATTGTCTTGATCGTTCACGTGTAACATTAATGAAATCCATGTGTCAAGATGAATGAAGTTTTGTAACTGATTGATCACTGGGTGATGGTCAGTGTCATGTGTGTCAGGTCCTTCTTAGTGCAGATCGAATTCTATCGACTAAGTTGCAATGTGGCCACTAGTCTAGATGACTCGACATTGAAGTTTCGTTCATTTTGGCAACATACGGGATTAATTCATATTTCTTTGAGTAATCTAAATATTTTTATGACACAAAATTTAGTGAGGATTTGATTAAAAAAAGTATATTTTTATTGTTTTTCAATAATAGTTTATTTACTCCTGTAGGCTAGCGCGTAAACAGTACGGGAGTGTATGGAAACATATTTGTTAATCAAGCTTACCTTTCTTAATAAAGTTTGAGCTAGTATAGATTCAGTCCTCAAAGTGAAGCGCATTTTGATTCAAGGATAATGTTTATAACACGTCTTCTTGCTAGATTCAGAAAACAAAGAAAAGAAATGTTATGTTTAGTAGTTCCAAATGCAAATGTATCTAAATCATATTATCTTACTTATGATTCAAATATTTTGACTTGTAAGCGATTTTATGAGAAAAGGTTTTTCAGAGTTCGACAGGAAAATCATTTTGTTACTATTTCTTTGTAGGTAAACCTAAACAGTTTGAAAAATCTAGAATTATGTATTGGTTGTGCATGCCATTACCTCTTAACACGTCGCTGCATGTGTTAACACTAATAAATAGATCAACCAAGTTAGAATTATAATACGAAAACATTCTTAAGTCACTAGTCATTGACCTAGTTTCAGAACAGCTTTTAGGATTTTGTTTAGATGACGTAACCGTTGGGACTAAATCATAAGAATATTGCGATATATTTTACTAATAGTAAAGAATGGTGCTATCTTAATATTATCAATTGCCTGAATCCGGAAGTGCGGACTGTCGGGAATATATAATTAATGAACTTGCCGCCATATTAAAAAGTCTACATTTGATTCTTTGCATGGTCTTGAGTGTATATACAATCATTATCATACTATTTTCGTACATCTTCCAAGTAAAATACAAAAAAATGGAAGAAGTTCTGTTTTAATTGAGACCATGAATTGACTAATGTTAAACCACAAATGAAGACCTGGAAATCCGTTTTGTCCTGGTCTGGGACTCTTCAGCAGTTTGCATGCCCGACCCCGTACGCGTGATCTGCGGTATTGCGTGCGAAACCTTAACCTCTAGACCACTGAGCTGGCATTCAACGGTGTTAATGTCTAACTTGATATTACACGACCATCCTCTATTGTTTTCAGTGAGTAACTGTTTCACACCAGACACGTTGAACTGCACTGGTCACGACTCATCACTAGAACTCTAGGAAATCCATCTTTAACCTAGACACTAGTGAGCACATGATAATTATCAGTATAGGACTGTGGAGATCGTTGAGTTTTGGTTGAGATCATGAGTGGTCGCGCAATATCGTGGATTGGTAATATTAATAGGATTAATTTCTTATGTAAGTGGGATAGTTAAAATAACGCATTGTGTCACTGGGTAAAAAAGAGAATTCAGAAAAGAAAATAAGGATGGAAATTATTTTACTGGTCAAAATTACGAAAAATGATTGTCCACTTGACAGTTATGAAGAAAAACGACAAACATAAGTATCATAATAATAAAAGCTGAATAACAATCATGAAAAACAGTTTAAAGGTAATAATAACTGATGACGGTTTCAAATTACGAAACATTTATTTAAAAAAACCAAAATATACTACTGAAGGAAATTAGGGCCAAGGAAGGATGAGATTAGACGTATGAAGTTTGCACGCAGAGTTCAGACTTGAATTGGTGGATTGTCAGTGCCTCACTAGTACATAAGTTTTTTATTCGACCTCTATTCTGTCTAACTCCTTTGGTTGTGTAGATCAGGTTGAAGGAACAGGATTAAAATGTACATATATACATAGAAAAATGAATGTATCGTCATATCAATTAAGCGACTAACATTAAAGCTAGCAGGATGAATATGTGCGTAAGCGGTAAGCAATACTCAAGCATACATGTTCATACAAGCGAAACAATAATAAAAGTACAGTGGTATCGATTATTGTGACATGTACATTCAGTGATTTTTGTAAGGACAAAATAAAAACCGTTTTTTCTTATTTGTCACACTATATGTAACCACATTTATATTCAATATCTATCGTTTCTTTGTATCAATGGTAAAGAAACGGATAAAATTGTTTGATTATTTACATATATATATATATATATATACTACCGCGGTTGTTGGAAATATAAAACGCTATCTCCGCCGTCTGTTCTGCTTTATTGGCCACAGGTTTTGATTGAAGATTATCATAGTCTTATAACATCCTTTTAGGCCTTCCCACACTACGTTGGACTCCAGTTATCAAATGATGGTTGATATAACTAATTATTTCAAAGACAAACCATTATTTTAAACTTGATACTAACAAATTAGATCCTCCAGCATTATTTTCCACGGGATGTCATTACTAACTACATGCCTAACCCTCTTTTGGGTTTGGGAGGACTACGGGCAGAACCCTGCTCTGGGGACGAACAAACCAACTTCCGGTTGATAAGGAAATTTGGAAAAGACAGTGGATGTGGATAGCTCAAATATTACGGAAATCATTGGGCTGTGTTACAAAGCGTTAACTCGGGATCCTTAAGGCAAAAGATAAAGCATCTCAGGGAACATATTGCATTGGGAATCGGAAGCAGACATCAAGATAATAAATAGCACTTATTAAAAACTGGGAGGGAGGTCCCTGGTCGACGGCCCATGGCTCACGAGGGGCAACAGTGTAGGTGAGTAACGCTTATTTCTTTTATCAATAAACTTCATTAGTATACATTGCCTAATTAAAAAAGTAAACTAATCACGTAAAGCATAATTAGGCTGAGTAGTTTTATTTACACCAATGTAGTTTAGTATTCTTGAGATAACAAACTAACCGCAAAAATAAAGATGAACAGCCGTTATATCATTGAGGATAGTTAAGTATCACTACCCTAAAACAACATAAAATCTGCAAAACCTGATAGTTGTAAAATGTTAAAATTCGATAATGGTGTCACAAGAAAATATATTAGCATCCAAGCCGTAAGATATGAACACAAATGTTACTCTGAAATTATCTTACTAGATTAAATGACCATAAATGCCACTAGACCGGACTTTTCTAGATAGATCTATTCGTTGAGAACGATAATGGATCTAAGTACAAATAGTGAGACTAACTACAATCCAAGAAATCAATGAGGGAACAATCAACATTGCGAAGTTTTATGGTCAGATTATATAAGTCAAACGCCTTAAGTACTGAGCAACCGCTCCAAATTATTTTCAAAAACCACAACATTTGCGCATAATTTTTGTTCAGGAAGGTATATAACAATCGTACGAAAAAGTATTACCAAACTACAACTGATATTGATTGGCAAGTCCTACTAAAAAGTTCAACAAAGTGGAATAAAATTCACCAATATTTTATCCTTTGGATGTTAACTACTGGACGTAATGGTTAACACGCACATAGGATAAAATATGATACTGACATACAGTAGGAAAGTATGGCAAGCCTGCTGTTATGATCTCTTATTACGACTCAGTTACTCTTAATGCTTAGTATTCTTTGGACAGTTTACTACACTCAACAAGTCCCCAAATCAGAACACAGTTGAACAAGAACGTAATTATACTCCAAATAAAGGTTGAATAGAAGTACGAATTACAATAAAAACGCTAGTATATTTATAATTTTTACACAAGATTTTAGTCTTCTCCAAGTATCCGCTACCGCTGATTGGCTAAGAGATGACCAGCCGGGAAGTATTCTATGCCGGATCCCGTTGCTTCTAGTTGGTCAGTATGACGAACTGAAACTTCTGAGTCAACTGAGACTTCGTAAACAACATTACATTTCTTTTGCAAGATTCGACCAGCTGTCCATGTAGGATGTGCGCAGCGATAATCCATAGCAAGTACTTTTTGACCGACAGCGAATAATCGTCTTTGTACCTCATGATGTCGATGGAATCGGATCCCCATCGATCCGTTCCGTTGAGGCTCAAGAGCTGGTATCAGACGAACGTGTTCGTGTTTTCCTCCTGAGTAAAGCTTCTATTGAAGAGACCCTGTTGATCGTTTGAAGATTTGGTGTAGAAAAAAAAGATAAGTAAGAACCTCTCTAAAATCTCTTGATTTATCCGGAGCATCTTTAAATCTACTAACAAAGCATTCAACTTGGCCATTGGATTGGGGATGGGAATGTTTAGAGATGAGTGATTCCATCCACCCGACAAAATTCTGAAGTAGTAGGTGTAAACTGTGTTCCATTGTCGCTAGTTATTAATTCTGGAACCACGAAACGACTGAACAGTTGACGTGGCCTTTTGACTGCGAAGCTTACAGGCCGTTCCATGAGAAAAATTTATGGCCACTTGCTGTATGCATTAGCTACAAAAAGGTAACTCAACTGAGGGACGATTCGGTATAATTGGATGCGGAGACTTCACATACTTGTTTTTTTTGGAGATCTCCAGAAGCCGAGTAATACTGAATTGTGACCAATCATGATCATGGTATAACGATATGTGACTGAGTGGAATTCAACTTGAGACACGATTTCAGGACCATGTCAATAACGTGATTCCATTAAGCCAGCTAGCAGCTTAGTTTCGAGGCTAACTACGAGTTATATAATCAAAACATAGATACAGAAAGACGTTGATGCCCAATAACAAAATGACTGTCACATTACAAGAAAATGGTGTAACCAATGTACAGTAATGTACGAACTTAAACGGTAACAATCACGAATTAGTACCATCTCTGTACAATTAACTTATCAGTAGTGAAATGAATCTTAATTAATCTGAACTGGTTAAACTGATGGGACGTATAGTCTATCCGGTGAATATATGAATAAAGTTACTAAGATTGTTAATTATGGACATAACTAATAACGATCCTCGAAATACGGCATCAAACTGAAGTCACAAGACAAGGAACGGAAAGCACGGAATGAAATGCTAAGAAGAATATTCGTAATTTATCTGATCCTGATGGACACCAGTAATACGGCCACTTGTCGGGACAATCAGCAGTGACTGACCGTAAGTTCCCATCACATATTTTGATCACTCTATTCACTAGACTTAGGGCTTTTATTCCTGAAATCCAAGACGACTGTGAAAACGGGGGAATGAAAACGATGTAAAGAAAATAAAACAGAAAAGGAGATAGCTAGAAGGGTTTGACTTTTGAGAATCGCAAAAGATGTTTAGAACAATGGAGGAAGAGATGGAACAAGTATATTGCAATAAATAGAGGGTATTTAAAAGATAGGAGTAAAGTATCTTGAAATGTGTAAAACAAAGGTATCACAATTTCAGTTCCCGAAGTTACCGTACATACCTATGTACAATGAAAATATCTGGATTTGTGCTTTAAAATTTATTCAAGAAAAGAACAAGAGATTTTTCAACGACAAAAAGAAATATACAAACTACGTGATTTAGAACAAAGACAATTTAGTTTTCAGTAATCAACATCCTCTTTTAAAGCATAAAAATACAATCAAAAATCCATATACAGACAAAGATAAGATCAAAACAACTATGTACAAATACCGAAAATGAACAAAAGATGAAGAAGCACAGTGATTTAGAGAGATAAGAAGACAACTTATTTATAATTATATGTCATGAGTTAATCACAGGAGATGCTTGTTCCTTATTGTTTGATCCGACAGGTCTCGGTTTCCCATAAGTAAATGGAACGTAGCGATATTTGATCATATGCTGTATCGTACAAAAGAAAAAAAAGTCAAACAAGCAACAGAAATGATTAAATGTTACATATTTATGAAGCAATGGAATAAATAATTACGGACTGAATGATGTATTTGACAGAGAAGAACAAGAGAAAGTTGTCAGTACCTTTTAAATGTTACAATTAACGTAGCCATCCGTAGTTGAATTTGACTGTCGTTAAATGCAGTCACACAATAATTTGACATCTCATTTTGTGAACCAATTGTCCGAATGAATTAACTGAAGCATACAACAGGTACTAACTGACAATAGAGTACCTGAGGTAGTCTTTTTATTTATATGTTAGATACTGGTGTACTGATTCAGTTTTAATCCTGAGTGACCTGATTGTATCATAGTATATAGAGGATAAAGGTCTATTCATTGATTTCGTTTGAATATTCTCAATATCAGTGAATACTTTTAATTTTCACATTTTGTTTCTTTTCTTAGAACCATATTTAATTATTTTATCGTTAATACTAACACTACCCATTCACCAATTATTAATTTTATTTTGCTATATTGAAGTAGTGTGGCAGCTTAGGGAAATGTACATTTGTGCCAGGTTCTATTATGACTAGAACTGAGTGGCTGAAATGAAATAGCAAACAGCAGATTATTGAAATGGTGGCTCTATAACCACAGTAACTAAATTCTAACCATTAGGTCTCAGGTTTAAACTTCAATCTATCTACTTCAATTTCGAAGGTCGGGTAGCATTACTAACCATCACACGGAGTGAAACTGTAATCCGGCTACTCGAACTTTTAACTCGTTAAGTTATCAAGAAATGGGGGGGATAAATAGTCTTTCTTAAATAATCAGGGTTTGAAAAGCTTTTCAAAATGTGAATAGAACAATACTATGGAACATTATCAACAAACACATATGTATATATTCTTCTGTGAAACCTGAGGGTAAAATAGTCATTGCTACAGTACGTGAACTGATCTACAAAACCTGAATGTTGCACCTAACAATATAATAAAAGGTAACGACAAGTTAGCATTTGATATCTGAAGTTTTCCACGTGAAACTCAATGGGATTATAAAACTTAAAACAAACTGATAGGACGAATAGTGGATTAAACAAATAGGCCATATTAACTGCACATAGGTAAATATCATAAAAAGTGACAAAACAAACCTTAATTTGCTTCTTCATCATAATAGCAAACAACATTATAAAATACATTACTAGTATCGGCCAAAATACTGGAATATCCAAGAATGGAAGATATGTGCAAAATATACTGATTGCAACGGCACGGACGGTGGAGAGCCTGTAATGTATTAGGAAATGCAGTCGTTTACTAACACGAATGAGAATGATGGGTTTAGATGTTGGGTATCTTTAAAGTGATTTTTAACACACTCTCCGAATAGAGCTAGTTTGGAATGAAGGCAATCAACTTACATGGAAGCAATGTAGGAATTGTTGTGACTACATACTCGGCTATTACAATTATCATTAGCATAATAGAAGAGAAACCTAGTGAGTTAATGACAAAACCAAGTAACTTAAAACAAACAATCGAAAACAATAAACAAGATCTTCAGATAATAAAGGAAATGTATGGTTGGATTACAACTACAGACTTTACCAGTCAAAACCAAGACATAAGTAAAAATAGATGTCAGTGAGTTTATGACTTGATAGGGTTTCACTTTGGTTAATCAAAGTAATCTCCCAACCTCATGAAGTCGGCGCGGTGATATAAGTAGGAAAAATAGTAACTAGATAAGAGACACTTTAACCAGACTTAATCTATAACACAAAGAATCAAAAAAACCAGTTTACTAATTAGTTTTCAAAACCAAATAAATAATTATTTCTAATGATTCGATTCGTTATAACTAGTGCTTGATGGCACAATGCCTGTGGCAAAACCTTAGGAATGACCAACCATTTCTTGATTCATATGCTTAAGCATAAAAGTAGTCAGTATGTCCAGGTTAATAAGTACTAAGCTTTCGTAGGTTTCATAGATCTGGCAGTGATTCATCTATCTGAAATGAAGCAATTACTGTATGCAAATCTAAAAAGGCTTACATACCTAACATGCCCCCAAATACCCTGTTTCGATCGAGAGTGGGGAGTCAGCTCTCCCCTTTCGAATAAAATGAAAATGACGATATTTATTGAAAATTCTATTCTCGCTTCGATTTACAGTCAAACGATTCACATTATTATTATTATTATTGTTATTTACTACGTCATCTACTCACTCTCTTTTATTCCCTATTTTTCGACTTATACAGCAGCTCGCCTATGGTGGGAACTCGGTTCTATCTGAACGTTCTCGATTGACTGCCTGGTTGAAAATTGTATGCTAACACCAAATACGAATACTGAGGCAGTTTTGCTGAAACCACGTGCACCATTCAAACTGGCTGCCTTCAACGTTCGCGCACTTATGCAGGTCGGACAACAGATGTGGCTGACTATGTCTTTGGAGAGTCTTAATATCGACGTGTGTTGTCTATCCGAGACCCGTATTCAAGACTCTGATGAAGTACTACAAGTTCGCTCTCCATCTGTCGCTTCAAAAAGCTTGTTCTATGTGCGTTTGTCCGGGGACCCTGTGGCATCTTCGTCTGGTCTTGCTGGCGTTGGTGTCGCACTAAGAGCTAGAGCTGAGGCAGCACTAGTCGATTGGATCCCCATCAACAGTCGGCTATGTGCTGTTAGATTAGAAAGTTCCACCAAAGTGAGAAGAAATCGGCGTGAGAAACGATGTCTTTTCGTTATCTCCGCCTATGCCCCGACAGATTGCAGCCCGGATGCAATCAAGTATGAATTCTACCATCAGTTAACTGTTCTTCTCCAGGAAGTGCGTTCGACAGATATTGTAGTACTAGCCGGAGACTTGAATGCTCAAGTCGGGCGTCTAGACACAGAAGAGAATCGTTTGGGTGGCCTATGGGGACTTGCTGGTCGCAGGACAGATAACAGAGACCGTCTACTGTAACTGTGCACAGACTACAACCTGTTTCTGGCTAGCACTAACTTTCGGCACAGTCATCGCCGATGTGTCACATGGCGTTCTCCCTCTGCATCTCAAGCCTGGACTCAGATTGATCACATCGCGATCAGCTACCGCTGGCGTGGTTGTGTACAAGACTGCCGCTCCTTTTAGAGTTTCTATCTGGACTCTGACCATGCTTTGGTTTGCGCCAATCTTACCTTACTTTTCAGTGGTCAACGAAGTGACCGCCACCAACGGATTGATGTTAGCAAGCTAAGGTAGTGGTCATGTGAATTACGTTTCTGAACTGTTTTACGTATCACTAATACGTATGGCGTGTTTGGATAATTTAAGATATAAAACTAACGTTCGAAATACATATAACCTACCACAAAAAAGTTAGGAAGCAGAGTCTTACCAGAATTTCGATTCAAGTAATCTTGGTATAAATGGTCTGAACTCTTCACCTACAGTTCGTGGAAGTGTAGGGATTTCATCTAGTAGCCATTTAGGAATATGAATAGCATGCACTTACCCGAATAATCTGCAGCAGCAGGATCTACTTTTGGAGAAATAAATGATATGAATAAACTTAATAAATATATTGCGAGAGTATAGCTAACGATATGGAAGCCCTGAATATAAACATTATGTAACATAAATCGACGCACCTGGATAGATGCTATCCGGAGCACGTAAATAGCAAATAACAGCAGTGCAAATAGCCATCTACTTATCCTATACGGATAGAGCTTATCAACTATGGTTTGGTGCATCTGACAAATGATATTAAGGATAATGTACTTCAAAGTTAACTAACCACAGTGACCGGGCGACAAACCTTCGACAGGAACGTATTCGACGACTCATCACTTGTTTGATCCAGCTTCATGATAGAGATTTAGAATGATTTCCGTTATTTGTGGTAAAGACCATCCAACAGCGACTTTAATCGATAGACGCGCAAACTGCCACCACTTTAACAACTCACACAGGTTTGGAAAACCCTCCCTAATCTGCGAGAGAAAAAATCGTTACTTTGACTATTCAAACACGAAGCTTTACTGGGGTGTGAAAAAACTGTTTATTCCTTGGGTCCTGAATTCGAAAAGTACAAGAGAGAGCGATTACGCAGAGGTTTATTCTTCATCTGATTGTTCTTGAATCTAGAGGTTAAAAATTATTTATCGGATGGATGAGTGATTAAGTTTCAGAAAGTGCACGTTCTCTTACTTCCAACAAAGATTCTCAAAACCTAAAGATGCTAATCATGAAACTGTTGGCACAAGTTTTTTGCGAAGTTTTTCGTGTACTGAAGATGTTACAGGTATTCGGAGTTTGACAACGCTTTAACCAGTAACACCTCCTACTATGAATCGTACCCACCAAGTGAAATCAAAAGTCAGAAGCGATGAGGTTCGAAGATATATTTGATAGGCTATCAATATATCGAGGATCGTCTGACCCAATCTGGCTAGCGATTGCAGGGGTTGTTGAGCACGGAGTCCGCACTCGTGATCTGGTGCGGATGCATGACCGAGCGCCTTCAGCTAGGTGAGTTCATTAAGACTAATGAGTTCAGCATTTAATATCGAAGACTTACAGAGCCATTTATTTTCGGCATTTATTTACTGTTGCAGTACTATTCAATGTGTACGATAACTTCGATATGGTTTTTGAATAAACTTCATCTGTGATACATTCCAGTCTTTTCCTTTTAAACTTTCTCCAGTAAACTAATTGGACATTCTTTCTCCATCCACGTTTGATAGAGCTTAATTTCTGGTCGAACTGCCTTAAAAGAGAGTAACGTCCTTTGTGAATGGAGTTAAGAAGTTGTTGCTTCATAAATGTATTTGGTTATGGTGAAACTCGATAGTTTTCCTTTCACTATATCGACTTGGCTGAAGTGGGTGCAAATAATATTCACACGTATTTGAATTATCGTATATGTCGTATTTGTCCAGTAATCCCCAATATTGATACTTCAGTGGGTCGTACCACAACGTTAGGATGTAGAGATTTCAAGTTCTTGAATGAAATAATGGACTCTATACTGCCTGTGTCCACAATAAAGTCATGAAATGAACCAAGTAATGTATATAGTCACTTTTGAATATGAGCATTACCTTTCGAAATAGTAGACAAAGATAATTGATCACTAGTAACATCCGAATTATTGAGATTTAAATTACAAGATTTAGTACTACTTGAAGCAAAATGGACGGTAGCTTTGCATACTGACTGAATGTGTCCTATCTTACCACGTTTAAGACATTTAGCACTATGAAATGCACATGAATTACGAGAATGAAACTCCACATAATAAACATTTACCGAACTTCATCTCACCTTTGTGATTTGCTTTGTAATTACTTGTTGAAACATCTTTCATATTTACACAAGAATATGAATCACTGTTAAACGAACGCAAGTTTGATTGACCTTGAGATTGTAGTTCATCATGACGACTAAGCAGAGTATTAGAAATCTTCATCGACTGGATATCAAGTTCATTCACTGCCTCGTAGTTAATACACGCAGTTCAAGCATCTTGAAAGGAACAGTTTGGCATTCTTAACAGTTCTCTTTCCAAACCCGGTATGTTAATTCCTGCAATTAATCGATCTCTCAGTTGCACATGAAGTTGATCACCGAAATTACACTTGGCAGCTTGTTTTTGCAATTCAAGGATGAATTCACGAACGTTTTGGTCATTTTGACGAACCATCTTATGAAATTTCGCCCTTTCACGGCATTAAAAACTGGTGCACTTAACATGATTTAATTATAGCTCCTTAAGAGTTGCATAAGGGAGTGAGATAAGTATTTCTGGATGTGCCAAAGTTTTTAATAAGCTGTACGCTTCTCTCCCAATGAATGTCAGGAAATGTGCCACAATTTCGTCACTTTTAACATCTTTCTTGGCCATGCTCCAGATTTCAAACTTTTCCAAATAATCCTCAAAAGCTTCCGAAGTTGAATGAATATCTAACTTTTCCATCGCAGGCTCCATCGCGACGCAGTACAATATTCACACGTATTTGAATTATCGTATAAACTAGGAATCCCAGAATTAACGCAATTGAATTAAGAAGTAAGACACAAGCACAAACGAATGTACTGTATTTGGAATTTGAAATCGAGCAATCCACAAGTACCAAGGTATCGTCAGTTCGTTCAAACACCACAGTGCATTTTGTTGAGGGTCAGTGCAATGAAAATCAAAAGTACGGCGATTATTCGTTGCTGATATATTATCGTATAATTCTAATAACTCAATCGCTAAAGATGGTATCATTATTTTTGTTAAAGCAATATTTGTTGTTCTTCTTTCCCGTTGACCTTGTACAATAAATTTCAACATAGTGACACCGTATATAACGTCTCAATCACTGTATTTAAGTAATGAACAGCATTTTATACTCCAGGTAATCGCACAACCGCACCCACTGTTGGAACGTGCTTGACATCGTTGAATTATGGTCCTGTTCGGAATTGGTACACTTATCTTGGCTGGTAGAATAGTAGACCTAATCCTAAAATTGTAGATCTGTCATAATATGATAATCTAATCCATAGGATCTCATATGAATTTCACACCATTCTCTGCACTGAATCGTCCTACAGTGGCAATCAACATTATGATGCTTAGCACTTCTGGAGAACACATTTGGGCTGTGGACATAATAGTGTATTTTATATGAAAAAGAGTGAGAAGGAAAATGATCACGCCAGCATGTCCGAGCCATGCGACATACCGAGTAAATGTTCACGCGTTCACCATTTTTGACCTTCCTTATCGTGCTACATGTTGAATGTAAATCTTCTCACTAATTATATGTTCAGCTTTAAACATCGTGTGGTTGAGAACCAATACCGCTACAACATCCTACTTGCTGTAGAAAAACATTGTGAAAGAGTTTTTACAAACCCGTTCAGAGGTAAACACCGACAATTGGCTCGAACAGTTCAAGAGTTAGCACTCAGTTTCTCACTCTGCTCTGAAAGTACGAATACGCTAAAAACATAAACATTCCATTTAACTCCCTAAATTACCTAGGCTAACCACGTTTGTGTGACAGTGGCAATAAGATGCGCTGGAAAAATTAATTTCGAGCACTCGTGACCAAAGGTGTTCGACCGAATCATGCTGCCTCTTGATCTTCATTGCTTTTGCCAACTATTCAACGTTTAATATTCTCGCGTCCGATGTAGAAATGATTAATCTCAGTGGATACAGTATTCCACACCGAAGGTCTCAAGATGTTTCATTTCTCTAAAAATCTGGTAACTGTGTTGAAAAACGTTGGCTACATATGCACATCGGTTCTAAAATGCCAATTCATCAATAATAGTATGAATCTAACTTTCCACAGATGTTAAGTATTGTACCAGATTTTTAAATGCTTTTAGTTTTTGCAATCTGTAATGCTAACTTCATGTGTAAAGTCATTTGTAAATCCCTAAATTCAGTCTTTTGACGCATTCATGTAAAGATAATAATTTGTGAATGTTTGTTGAAGATTTCATATATAAACTGTTTCAAACTAAAACGCTTCGTCGATGAGTGGCATAGTACACGTTCTTGACATTCATCTTGGGAAACAATCTGATTCCCACGCTAATGGCGTGGTGTTCGTCAACTCCGTTATCGCTGCAGGGCATTATGAGTGCCGTACTTTGTCCTGACTTTCGCTTCGTACAGTTTGGAGTCTCGTTCGGGTTGCTGTTTTTTTAAGCAACCCAAATTTACTACTTTTCACTAGATTTGTATTGCTTACATTAATTCACGTAAGCACATATCAAGACATAAATATTATAGCCAAGGCCAAAGATACCAGAGACACATAAAAGATCACATAAAAAGAGATAAAGTTTGAATGGAAATTTTAATGGGTAAAGCTACAAGAATAAAGGTAGGTTCAATTATTACAAGAACTGAAACAGGAACTGCTAATTTATTTAGAGAAGAACGATCATCCAGAAAAATTAATTGTGATGCAAAAGCTATGGAGTCTCTAAACGGTTCTACATAAATCTGTTTTCATGCTTCCTATAAATAAGTTTAAATTGTCTCAATAATGGCTGCTTTCGCGTCTGCTTTGAAGTGACCTCACAGGATTCATTAAATACGTAATGAATAAAATTTCCAAGCACAATTTCTGGTGGGGAAATTGCGGGATCAGGGCAAACCATTCTATCGTAATTACGAATGAACCGGAAAATGTAAATAATAAGGAGACTGTGAATGCACAAAAAGACAGTTTGGAGAATCTGTGCACTATGCGAATTATTAATAATCTCGGTTGAACCAAGACTTCAACATAACTCAGTTACGAAGCCGAATCCGAGATTAACTAGATATAATATTATTTACCATCATAAAGGATTAAGGCACACAGAACATTTAATTGTACAATGACTATATTAATTATTGACCGCAAATAAGCTCTAGTGATCAAAATAACCAGAAGTATCTTCGTGAGCCATTTTTAGCAGTCAGTTGAGTGTGTAGCGGTAAATAAATGCCGAAAATAAATAGCTCTGTAAGTTTTCGACATTGCATGCTGACCAGATTGGTTTTAGTGGACTCACCTAGCTGAAGGCGCTCGGTCATGCATCCGCACCAGATCACGAGTGGGAACGATGTGCTCAACATCTACTGCAATCGCTGGCCAGACTAGATCAGACAATTCCGATATATTGGCAGTCGTCAATACAACTTCTGGTCTCCTCGATTCTGTCTTTTGATTTTTCTTGGTGGGTACGAGTTATATTAGAAAGTGTTACTGGTAAAAGCGTTGTCAAACACTGAATACCTGTGTCATCTTCATTGGTGAGACCGACGTGATCCGTTACACCTAATTGCAACTGTGAGTCTGTTCCTTTTTGGGATTTTTGTATATCATTGCCTTATATTTTTATTTTTTTTAAAACATTGTGATTTTTTTCGTGTTTCTTCTTGGATATATATATATTTTCTCCTCGTTCATTATCATACTTCATCATGACTGAACAGACACCCAAAGTACTCAAGCTTAAGACTTTGTCCCCGCCTT